CTCAGAACAGTGGTGTGGTCGACTTCGAGGTCTTGATGCATATGGTAAGAAAATCTGCGATCCATGTCAGTAGCCTTCCCCATATTCTAATTTCAGATGGTTTGTATCATAGTCATTTGTGTGGGGACGATGTCAAACGCCTTCTTGAAATCAACTTAGCTAATTTCGAGTCTCTGATCGTCGTCCAGTGCGCGTGTCCACTTCTCAGTCGATAGTAATATACTGACAAAAAACAAGGGAGGCCCTGGCTAAAGACATTTTGGAACCCCAAATGTTAGTCTTTTTCCTCCGGTAACTTTTTTTACTGCCTAGATAATTAGTTTATAAGATTTCCTTGTTAATCGGAACTATTTTTTTCATATTTTCACGATAGCAATAAGTTTGTAATGAAAGGGCCCCTTGGGCCTTAAATATACAATTTATTTATCATTATTATTTCACTGGCGCTTTCTTCAGTACAATCTCCATCATTTTACAACAAATGCAGTATCTGCTCACGGAATGATAACTATTACCATTAGTTCGAGCGCCACCCCTGTATATCGGGTAGATTTTTGTTTCCTTCGATGCGAATGACAGGCTTCCCAATTCAAGAGACGAATGGAAGATAAAAGTTATTGGCTTTGACAGTTCGCTAGTCAGTACTCTCATGAATTGGCCGGCGTATTTACGAGACGCGACGACTTTGCTGCGGTGAGATTCAGCAGCTCTATTAACCGGGCAGATGCGGCGAAGAGTATAAATTCAAAAATAGGACCAGCGTTTACAACAGCACATTGTAAATCTCATGTTCAGTTTCCTAAGTGAGTGCCGTGGTAAAGAACCGACACAAGAGTTCAGCTTTCATGCTACTGAAAACGTTGATCCTAGACCGCTACACCGACAAAAACTAAAAACAACTTATCGGTTATCCGACGTTCCCATGGCCACCACAGTGGATCTAAAGTGATTCCGTCTATTTTTACAAAACGCATACTGCAAACAATTTCAATAGCCACAGAACGTTAACCAAGCGGGTTTGCCTATTGTTTTTCAGTCCACATTCATTCTCTTTTTACATTGACATTTATGCATGTAGCGATGGCGCCAAGCACGCAAAAAGCACGTGAATTCCCTACTCTACCTCCTTCCGGGCCAGCGAATCAGAGGTGCCGTAGACTTCTATTGGCCCAGTAGTTGATCAAGCGGCCACTCTCACATGACG